TAAATAAACAATAAACTTATAACCAGATGCACACCTCTCCGGACATCATAGTGTCCGTGCATACATTAATCGGACAAGCACAAAATCCTTAATCCGGGCAACACTCGGCCGGATATACCTTTATTGGACAACAAGTGTCCAGTTACAAACTATCGTCGGTCAACACAGTGACCGGACTTGCCCTCATCGGACAACACTGTGTCCGGACACAAATTCCATACCATACAAATCCGGACAACATAGTGTTTGGTGAAGAAACCTAAGTCGATCAATGAAGATGAACAAGAACAGGTACAACATTTTCAATACATCATCATCTCAAAACTAAAACTAGTAATCAAATCATATGCAAAGGCTGTTTTAACAAACACTCACCTTATGCAAATTCAAAATTTTGAAGATGAAATAGCAAATACGAATCCAACTTCAGCTAGCAATAAAAACCCACATAAACTTTTTCTCTTTCAATTCTTTCCGAAAGTGGCAAGAAGTTTGCCTTTCACCTTAACACTTCCTTTTATACCTTTCCAGAAATGGAAAGGCGGTTATCCATCATAACTCTCATGCATGCACATATTTTATGGAATAAATCCATATGCACACACAACATATGCATACACCTAAATCTTGCATATATGCATGAAAAATATACACATACTCACATATTAATCTCATGTAAGCATTTCACATAATCATATATCAAATAATCATATAATAATTACCTTAGGTGATAACCAAGACCCAGTTATCACATTGTGACATGTCCAACTAATTTATTAATATTGTCAACTGTCATGTTGGATCAAACTCAAAGTCCCAAACACAAAGTCCTAAAATATTACATAAATAATAAATTATTCTCTCTCTCTCTCTCTCTCTATATATATATATATGTGTGTGTGTGTGTTATATAAAATTAAAAAATGTACAAAATATGTGGTGTGGTGCGGTTTGAACCGCTTTTGATAACTCAACACCGCAAACTACACTGCATAGTGCGGTTTGGTAAAAAAACAAACCGCAAAACCGCAGCATGAAAGTTCTAAACCGCTCTTTGCGGTGTGGTGTGGGTGGTTTATGCGGTTTGGCGGTTTGGATGACCACCCCTAGTTTATAGCATGGCTTGTTTAATGCATTGGTATGCAGACATAGTTACTGATTTTTAATATGTAATCTATATATAGGGATAGTGGCATTTGAGAGTTACCTTTAGATGAGTGTTGTTTGTGGAAGAGGTCTCTTGGTACAGCATGTAGAGCTAGAGGGGTCATACAAAGCTGCTTGTGTTTTGGACATCTTTCCTTGAATGCTATTTATCCATATGTATATATATATAGACACACACACATATACACACACACACACATCCTGTATTAATGAATAGTTGGAACGCGGCGAAGCAAGATTGACTACTATTTTTTAGCGCGGAAGATTCAAATAAATGTAGAATACAACACCACGTTATTTACCTAAAATCGTCATTATTAGAAACTATGCTGTTAATTGCACTAACGGTCATGGGACAAATAATGATGGTCAAATAGTGGTCTGGAATAGCGGTCCCGCGATTAGTGGTGCTGTTGACCTCTAAATGACCGCATTTTGAACGGAAAAAAGCGGCCTCATAACCGCTATTTGTAGATAGGCAGTTTTGATGTTAAAAAAGTAATTTTATGGGCTTTTATTTTAGTCCAATAATACAAAGCTTCATTTTTCTTATTTTCTTGGACTTGGACACCATTGTTCTTATTTTTTTGGACTTGGAAACCATCACTTTAACTTCTGGCTTTGAATAAAAGTATTATTTGGGCTTGTACATCATTATTCCTATATATATTTTTTATTGAATATATATAATTCTATTATTATATGAACCGCAATACCATTGCGGTAACCGCTATTTTAAATCATGGTCCTGACTGTGATTTCATATTTTGACCGTTGTAACAGCATAGATTAGAAAGCTTTTTGGCTATCCGATCAAGTTTAAATGGATGATTTTGATGATTTTAGTTCACTCCCGAGGTGTGGACAGAACTCTTGTATAAAATACTTCATATCATTCCAAAAGCAGCTGTATAGATTACTTGGTAGACTGATGTACTTTATGGAGCAGGTAATTTGTTCATGTATAATGATGAACTATGGGGTTTATGAGCCAATATTACAATTTTTTGTGGCTGACAGAGTATTGGGGGATTTGGTAGCCTCTTTCTGTTGCATCTTGATGCCTGTTCACATATCCTGAGTCCACTGGGCATGTTTTCTTCAATGGATCTGGGTTACTTACATTAGAGATGCGTCAACTATGAAGCTTTAGGTTTGGCAAGTTGATGTTGTAATTGACGTTTTTCATTGATAATCAATGTTCTAATTGAAGTTTGTCTTTTGTTTTGGATAGTCAATAATGTAGTTGAAGTTTTTAGGATAGTCAAATCAAACCAAACAAAATAAGCACAATATATCCCGCTCAAAGGTACCGACGCGGGAGGTTAGGATGTATGCGGACCTGTCCTCTATCTAAAAGAGTAGAGTGGCTGACGACCCCGGCCACTGGGAAGCATGTGAAAGGGATTTAAACCAGATATGAAAAAAAGATAAACAAAGATAGGTAGATAAAATAAAACCACACTAAAACTAGAGAGATAGAAAAATATATTAAATTTTGGGAAATTAAATAAACCAGCAATATAAACACAAGCCAGTTCAGGAAAAATAAAAACGTTCCCAAGGTGTTGAACCAACTACCCTTACTAACCGTATCGCCTACTCTTTACCTATCCACCTCCCTTCATCTGTCTAAATCCCTGCAGTCTGATACTCTAGTCTTGCATCTCCAAGAACTTCTATCAGAGGTCGTTTCCTCGGAAATGTTTAAAACTGCCATATCCAATCTCAGTTGCGCATCCTATGTCCTCCTCGGCCTACCCCTCCTTCTTCCCCCCTTGACCGTTACATTTTCTACCCTCGTCACTGGAGCCGTCATCTCTTTCTTGCGAACGTGACTAAACCATCTCAATCTTCTCTCTCTCAGCTTATCGTGATAGGCATGACTTCCAACACTGCCGAGAAGAGCTCATTCAGTATTCTGTTCAACATGGTTCTACCATAGGTCCACTTAAGCATCCTCATTTATGCAGTTTCCATTTGCCTTTCATGGATACTCCTACCCATACAACATTACTGTCCTGATGGCTACCTTGTAATATTTTCCTTTCAGTTTTAGCGGGACTTTCTTGTCACACAACACCCAGTGGCAACTCTCCACTTTAGCCACAATGTCTTTATTCAATGTGTTATGCCCTCCCTGACCTCACCCCCTTTTTGAATCATGTAGCCTAGGTACTTAAAACTATCCTTTTTCAGGATAGCCAATGTTGTAATTACAGTTTCCTCTTACCTTCACCATCCAGTTTCTTAAACAGAAAGTGTAGCGGAATAGGATGTGTGATATGCCAGTAGCATACTGGTAAGCAAGTCTGATATGTACCTCTACCATGTATCATGCCCCCCCCCCCCCTAAAAGGGCATGCAGATCCTAATTGACTTGGGGGGAGAGATCATTTGGGATGCCTGTTAAAATAGAAGTGGGAACTTGCTGGTGCATTTCGAATGCAAGTTGGCTTAGGGAAATCTAGATGCTTTTTCTCTTTCGGTACCAAAGCAAACAACACCGGTTTATTCCACCAGGAGGTGGGGTTCTCCCGCTCGCATGTGGGGGGGAGGGATGTACGCAAGCCTGACCTCTACCTCAACTAGTAAAGCAGCTGTCTCCTTAAAGACCCAATTCTTGTGAAAAGTGATTGAAAAAGAGAAAGGCGTATATATGAAAAGTTGAAAAGCCAGATATAAGTAAACAATAGCAATTTACGTATCTGGAAAATTGACTTGTGATTTGGGTTTAAGATCTAGGGCATGAAAATTTCTTTTCAAATAAAAGAAGTCATCAAGAACAACTCTCACGGTTAAGAAATAAGGTGATGTCCTTTTTGTTAGAGTTGTTATGCACTAAATTGAGGAAGAGATCAGGTGGAATGCTCATCAAGCAAAAACAAACACACCAATCCTACATAGTTTCTTGTGGTTGTTCTGTTGGTCTTTAAGTTCTTTCTTTTAGCAGCTATCTCTGAGATGTATTAATTTTGTCAGGTACTCCATTTGGTTGGATAGCAAGCTGCGGCTACAACTGGACCCTTTACTGGTCTTGGAGTATTTCTTGTGGCGAAAGGGCCACGAATATGCAATTTCGAATCACTATGATCGCCATTGTGTCTGGGAGGAAGTTGCTCAAAATAAGAAGCTCAACAAATACAATCATACCGTCATAGATGAACAATTTGCATTTTACCAGGCTGATGGATTGACAAGATTCAATCCAATGGATTCTCAAAAGCTCCTCCCAAGCAGTAGGGTTTATTTTTTCTTTCTTTCTTTCTTGTTTGTTTGTAAATATGAACTGTAAATATTGCAGTACATTTTCATCATTGGTTTAATATATCTTCTTTGCTCACACTCGTGCACAAGTCGGGGGTTTTCACAGATCAGTCGCTCTACCCTTTTGTGTTAGAGGTCAGGTCTGCGTACTCACAACCCAGACCCTACTTTCAGGTAGGATTTACTGGGATGGTTTGATTTATATCTTGTACAATTGTAAATATTGCAGTGCAATATCGTCATTGGTTTAATGTCTTCTTTGCTCATACTCGTGCACAAGTCGGGGCAGTCGCTCTACCCTTTTGTGTTAGAGGTCGGGTCTGTGTACTCGCAACCCAGACCTACTTTCAAGTGGGATTTACCGGGTCGGTTTGATTTATATCTTGTTGCATTTTTCAGATGTACCAGAAGGTTCATTTATTGTAAGGGCACACACGCCTATGTCAAACTTGTTTTCGTGCCTTTGGTTTAACGAGGTTGAAAGGTTCACACCCCGTGATCAGTTAAGCTTTGCGTATACATACCAGAAACTAAGAAGGATGAACCCCACCAAGCCGTTTTACTTTAGCATGTTCAAGGTTAGATGTGCTTATACTTCTTGATCATACTTCCTGATTGAACTATTACCATGCATATTTCATTGACGTTTTAGCTATTTTATGTTACTTCTTAATCCGTCTTTAGAACCTTAAATATGTACATGGTAACAGAGCCTATGCTATTATAAACAAAACCTTTTTTTTTTTTTTGTTTGGTAATGCCCTGAAGTTGACCGTCAGGCAAACCCTCTAGTGGCCCTGAGGGGACTTGAACCAGTGACCTCCAAGGTCTTATGAGTTGAGCTATCCATCAGGGTTAACAAGGCCCTATTTTAATGTGACATACTGGATATACCGACTGAATACCAGTATATATGGTTTAATTTACCATTTTGACATATGTAAATTCCACAGGACTGTGAAAGGCGAAAGATAGCAAAGTTGTTTCGGCACAGGTCAGAGGAGAGGAGATATACAGTTGGACAAGAGACGGAGTGAGTTTTTGTGTCAGATTCTTCTTGTTTCTATACATGGAACGCTGTTTTTGGGTGGTGCCGCAATAAAAGTGAGGTAAGACCATCAGTCATTTGTACATTTTCCATCTGAAGGAACAACAGACATGAATCCAGTAAAAGATAAAATAAAAGATTCAAATTCCCATTTGATATTCTGTTCACTGCTCTGATGCTGATACCGATGAACCCAAGTGCCAAACCAGTATTATAATTCTTGGATATTATTGATGTTCTTTTGTGGTTTTATGGATTAGTAGTAGATATCAACATCCAGATTTTGAACTCCTGAAATTGGGTTTGTAAATGCAGTTGCGGTTTTCTAGACTTTGCCGTTTTTTAGATTTTGGTCGTTTCTGCTTGATGATAGTGAATTTTAGGATACCGACTGTTTCTTTGTATCGTTTGTTACGTGTATTATATAAACAAAAATTCGATATTTGTTTGATCTAAAAGACTGAGGATAAGCCCTTTCTTTTGAGATTATAGAATTGTTTCTTGAGGCATCAAGGTTTCATGCCAAGTCTAATCTTTTTCCCAGGTTTTGAAACCAGAAGTTGTCAAAGCCCTTGTCGCCATGAAGGTTCATCTACGATGACTCCAGGCTATTAATGTCGACCAAGGAATTAACCGGTGTGCGTAAGTTAGTCTGGAAACCCTTCAGTTACCCAAAGAAGATCATGCCTAGTGTAATGACCATTGGGTATGCGGTATTATTGTAAATATGCGCATAGATGGATAAATAGCGGTACTAACCATTGGTGTCGCTCCTTTCCACAAACAGTCGTGTTTGTAACAGATTCTAATCATTATCAGTCCCTCTCTGAAAAAAAAACCTTTTAAGACATCTCCAACAACAGTTTTTTTATAATTTTTCTAAATTTGAGAATCAAAACATAAATTTTCTAAAAAGAATTACATTCTTCTCCAATATATTCTTTATTTAGAGATTTTAACATAAATTATACTATTATAATATTCTTTAATTTATCATTCCAATACATTTTTTCAATAAAACATATTATAACTTAATTTTGTTGGTGGAATTGAATAAAATAATCATTTCTTATGAATCCCAGATTAAAGCAGCAAATCAAGAACAAATGAAGAACAGAGAAAGTAGATGAAACATGCCTGATTTCTTATTCATGAAAACAGAAAGTACATATAGAACTCTCTCACTAATCAGACTCATGGAAATATGAATTACAACAATGAATTCTAAAACCAAGACACCTATTTATAGGTGTCAATTACATACCCCTATAGTTTTATAAAAGAAACATTTTCTGAAGCATATAGATTATCTCCCCTGCTTTTTTAGAAACTTTAATGTTGCTCGGCTTCAAAGAACACTTCAAGCTCCCTCTTGAATAAAGCTCTTATTCTTCAGTTTCAACTTTAAAATAAGAATCGATGTAAATTTAGCACTATTAATTGTACAAAAAACATCTTTAAACTCTAGTCAACTCAACACAACCTTGAAACTCAAAATCTCAGTCGGCCCATAAGTATATTGATTCATCCAACTACGGGATTAGATGATGTGCGAATTACATGACATTCCAAGTGCAGAATCAGTTTGATAACAAATAACTTTCCCTTAAACCATGAGTTGAATAAGCTTTCAGCTTAAGAACTTGAACAAATAAGCTCACAAAGTGGGGTTTCAACAAACAAATTGAACAACCAAAGCAAACACCTTTTGGCAACGAAATCAAGAGAGATGTCATCATAAAGAACATAGCTTCTATGATCAGCAAGTCAACCAAGAAAGATAAGCCGATATCCTTGATACTTTCAGAAAACTGAATAACCAAAACTCAGATCCAAAATTCTCAGTCGGATGAGTGATTTTCGGTACTCAAAACTCTAAATCACAACCATACCTTCAGAACAATGATTGTAAACATTCAAACCTCTAATTGATTAGGTTAGATGAATGATTGAGAACACTTAAAGATATGATAAATCCAGAAACTCCAGAACAATGATTGTTGACCTTCAAAACTCTTATTGATCAAGTCAAAATTAATGATTGAAAGCATTCAGCGGTTGGGCCTCTTGCGGAAAACTTCAGAGTAATGAATGCAAATACTCAAACTTCTGACCAGTCTAATAAAATACTGAATCCAATCACCCGGTTATGAAAACGTTTAAAATCTGGCTTTGAAACAATAAGCTTGAAATTGTTAACCAAGAGTCAAATTTTGACTTTGAAAAGTCAATTGTTGACAAAAGTTGCTCACGATGCTTCTTGTAGGGCAAATAATTGAATATGAACACCATTCAATGTAGCACAGGGTTATCTTGAGAAAAGATCAACATAAGCATTAACAGAGGCATGAATAGTATACTCGAAGAAGTGTGCGATAAGCTAAAGATTGGAATGATATCGCCCACGCCTTAGGCGGTGTCCTCCATGAACAGTGTATATCGCTTATGCCGTGGGAGGTATACTCAAACTTCCCAAATATCGCTCACCAAAGAATATAATATCACATGAGGCTTTGAGCGGTATAATCATACATCACACATGTAAGAATATCGTGCAACACATAAACCGCTTGATGTAGAATTAACATAGGCAAACTACTAGAAGAGAGAATATCGCCCTCCAAATAGACCGCTTAGCAAGATATCGCTCATCAAGGATATCGCTTGATACTTGAGCGATTTATGAACTTCAAAGCATAACCATGGATATCGCTCAGCACCTTGGCGATATATTCATATAATGTGCAACACATGAGCGATGTTCAACAAATATCGTGCATATCTTAGACGGTTTATTCACAACTCACACAAGTTTTGGCCGGTATCCTTAAATATCGGACGAAACATCAAAAAGTGTCTAAGACTCAAATATCGCTCAAAGCAGTTTTATAATGGCCAAGTCACTAATCATCTTCAATGACCGATATACTTACCAAAATCACTCAAAACAACCTCAGATCTTCAATGGGCGATATTCATGATGAATATCGCTCAAGGCAATATTCATCCAGCGATGTTCATGATCAAAAAGTTATGCTTAGAAACAGTTCTACAAAATTCATGAAAAAAATCCAAAATTTCTTCAATTAAACCCCAAATTGACGATTATAACTTGTTCAAAAATACCAAAATATGAATCCTTTGGCACGAATTGGTTTAGAACAATCAAAATCATAAAAAATTTGATCAAATTAAGCCCAAAATGTCGAACATGGAAGTCTGTTCATAAACTGAGCACTGTTCCATTGAAAACAAAATTAAAACTTGAATTTGCTGCAGGAAGATGATCGTATCGAATGAAAGTTGTTCGATTTTTCTCTGATACCAATTGTGAATCCCAGATTCAAGCAGCAAATGAAGAACAAAAAAAGTAGATTAAACAAGCCTGATTTCTTATTAACAGAAAACAAAAACTTACAAAGCTTTCTCCACTTAGTCGACTCTCATAGAATATCTCTCAATATGGAATATGAATAATGACTACTCTAAGCTCAGTACACGTATTTATAGGTGTCAATTACATGTAAACCCAAAGCCTAATTACAAGATATTACAATACAATACAATAAACTGACTTTATAAAACTTTCAATATCTTGGGGCTAATCTAGACCCAACATTTCTCTTTCCCACCATTAAGTTTTAGAGAACTCTTTATTTAGAGTTTTCTCCATGATTCTCTATTTTAAAGAACATGATATCAAAGCTGTTGGAGCATTTTAGAGAACCGAAAACTCACTTTTTTTTTTTCTGTTATAGAGAAGTTGTTGGAGATGCTCTAACAAGTTATAACCGGTTCCATAATGTGTTCTTTTATCCTTTCAATCGGCTTATTTTCCTTTTTAATATTTGAAATAAACTCAACATTTGTGTTTGAAATAAACTTATCTTTAAACATTTATTTTACGTAAATCATTTTAAAGAATACTACATTTAAGTCAATTTATTAATCACTAAAGCACAAGAAATGGAGAACATAAATGTTTGCTTGATTTTAGGCTTTGAGGATTTTTGATTTGTGTGAATAAACCAACGAGGCAACAACTTGACACTTACGTATACACAAATAAAATGGTCCAAGAAAATTCATATGATTGTTGGGTGGATAACATAAAAAATGTAATCTAGACCTCGTAACCGGTGCAACTTAACTTTAAAAGATTGGACTAATCAAAGGTTTTGTAATTGGGCACAACAAACTTGTGAAGGGTCCTAATTGGTCCCCATTGCGGGCTTTACCCACATAGCTAATGTTTATGTTTTGATAACCTCCATTGTAGCATATATAGATTGTAATTGTACAGATGTTCTTGATACAATTTTTGTTTAGATTTGATGGTTGACAACAATTGATAAACACCTAAATTATTTGGGTTGTAAAAATACTACAACTAATCGACCAATTGAAGGACCTAAGTATTGAAGCACACAAGTTTACGAAATACTAGCAGCTAAATCATTTGATAGTTACTGAGAGTTGATCAACGAAAGATCACCAGTAGACTAGATACATATCACATGATATAGCCATCGAAGCATACTAAGATAGTTTCTAAAGACCAACTCTTATCTTGGTATGCAGAGGGTTTTTGTATTATACTTAAAAGAGATGATTACAAAAGAGCACATACAAGCCAATATAAAGAGCATACAGGATCCTAAAAAGGAAACAAATAAATCGACAGACAAGGAAGAGATTATGAATAGCCTGTGAGATCCTCAATAATGATGATCAATATTTGACCCCAACTATTACTCCATGATTTGTGTTTTCTATTTTTGTTAGAATATTCTAACACTCCCCCTCAAGTTGTGTAGTGGGATCTCCAATACCCAACTTGAATAAAACAGATTTGAATGTTCTTGTTGCCACTGGTTTTGGCAGAATATCTGCCAGTTGGTCTTTAGACCTAATGAACGGGAGTTCGACTGTGCCATCTTCAATATTTTCTTTTATGAAGTGTCGATCTATTTCAAACGTGCTTTGTTCTATCATGTTGCACCGGGTTTTCTGAGATTTTAATCGCAACTTTATTATCGCACATTAACTGAGTCAGACGATTAAGGGGAGACCCGATTTCTTTCATTATCTTCTTTAACCAAAAGATCTCGGTGATCCCTTTAACGATACCCCTAAACTCTGATTCTGCACTCGATAATGACACTACCTTCTGCTTCTTACTCCTCCAAGTCACCAAGTTACCTCCAAGAAGGGTGGAGTAACCGGCAGTTGATCGTTTGTCGTTAGGATTTCCTCCCCAATCAGCATCTGTAAACACTTCAGCATCCAGGTGTCCATTTTTTTTAACACTATACCTCTTCCTAGTGTGCCCTTAAGGTATCGAATAATCCTCATTACAGCCCCCATATGGTCTTCTTGAGGGTTGTGCAAGAATTGACTTACCACTACCACCGCATAAGCAATGTCGGGTCGAGTGTGAGCCAAGTAAATCAATTTTCCCACTAACCTTTGGTACCTTTCTTTG